TTTCTGATTTCTGTCCATTGATAAGTGTTAATAATGTTAAGTGTTCAAAGGAATTATCACAAATTAACACAAATCCCGTATTGAATGGCAATTAATCCGCAGTCAAATCACTTGAGGTAGGCAGTTTGACATCCGAATTCAACTAACATTAGATTTGAACCTAGAATAAATATACGTGATGACGCAAATGCATGATATTTTTTTCCAGAATATCAGTGTGTATGCTTACCATTTACTATTTCTTGCGCAAGAAAAGTACGTGCATGCATAAACATTGATTTCACTCGTCGAAGGTGATTTTTTTTTTTTTTTTGCATTTCTTCTCTTTGTTGTGTTTTGTGTATTATTGTTTGTCTAGATCTGTTGGTCTTTTTCGTCCGTTTTGCAGAAATTGAGAATTGGAATAGGATTAGGTCTTTGTATATAAAACACGGAGAAATAATGATGTACACTCCCAAGTAATAAATAAAATAGTCAAGCCTTAAAAGTTAGTTTCAAATGGTAATTGTATACAATTTTCTATTTACAACTAAAATCCAGCAATGATTTTAATTGATTTGTGCACGAATCTACACACAATAACATATTTTCAATAAAAGGTAATTTAATTTTATTTATTACCTCATTCTGTCAACAGTCATTTATTTCAAATCAAAAGCAAAAATAAATTCAGCAAAAAATATTTGGTGACCAGTCAGTGGTCTCGGGTTCACGTGTTGCTTTTCTTTTTTTTAAAGAAAGCAACTTGTTTAAATCTGATAGGTAGTTTTTCGTGATGTTTTTTCTGATACATATATACGTGTCTATGGAAGATGAAAGCCTTCATCTACGTTACTATTCATCTGCCGAAGATGAATACAGCAGCAAAAGTCAGAAAGGGGAAACAACAACCAGTGATAATATGGCAGGAGCATGTGGCGGGCCAGAGGATATACTCGATGAGTCCATTAGTGTTTTGGAATGCAGTAGAGTAACAGTCAGTCGTTCTAGTACACCGTCTATTCGAAGTTATTCTAATACCCCAACCAATTTGGCAAGTACACCATGTTTCAGCAGGACAATCATTCCGACTTTCCTTAGAACACCTTTATCTGGAGAAGTTCGTTCTAGCAGGTCAACTACTCCTGTCACAGAGGGTATATCAAGAAAAGAACAGACTACAGCATCAGCAAACAAGGTAAAACTTTAAAAAATCGATGAAAATTCCAACAATGAAGTGTTTCTTAAGTGTAATATGTTATGATTTAATTTTGTCTATCTGTCTGCTTACAGCGGATACGTTTTTGTCAAAGGTACTTGGAACAGGACACTTTTTTTTAGCCCGACCCCTTTTTCCTAAAATTTGTTATTTTTTGTTTTCTGTTAATTTCAATTATTTTCGCATTTTTTTTTTTTTGTATTACATGAACATAAATATACTAGAAATAACTTGTATTTGCTATTATCTATCAATTCCAAGTTTTACTTTAGAACTGATATAAAATTGCAAATACACGTTATTTCTAGTATATTTATGTTCATAAGAAATAGAAAAACGCGAGAAAAAAATGAAATTATAAGAAAACCAAAAAAATAACAAATTACAGAAAAAAGGGGGAGAGCTAAAACAAAAGTGTCCTGTTCCCAAGTACCAAGGGTTTTTGTTAGAACAGTGTTAGACAAGTGACCATCATAACACACATTGAAAAAAAAATATTTAAAAACAAGATGTTTTTGTGCGTAAAAAATTTTTTGCTTTAAAGGTTCAAACAATTTTTTCACATTTCCGGGACAAATATTCTTTCGTGTATCTTTTGTTTTAAAAACTAGCCATTTATAACGTCGTTTTCTTTAACAGTGATGCCGCATTTATCATTAAAGCCCTTTATTATTAAAGCTGTATATATCAATACAATGACTGTCACATAATTGCTTTAGTAAATGTTTATTAAAGTTAAAATAACCGAATCAAAATAAAACTTTCGTAATTGTATACATTTGTATATCAAGTCGAGAATTGTTGCAAATGTAACTAATATTAGTTTTATGGCAGTTACCTCAGCTAATAGCTAGATGATGTGTCTGCACGTCTGCTTAAATAGAATTGTTTGCATAAAACGGCCAAAAGAAAACCAAAGGCGAATGTTTTGAAAATGAAATTGCACACAGCAAGACATCATTAACCAAATTGGATCTATTGTTTGTACCCAAAAAATACATAGCTTTAATACTCATTTTGTGTTTGGTTAACGATGTTCCTGTATATATTTTTTTCTTAAGTTTTCATATCTTCATAGGTTTCAATCACTGCCTGATTTCGAAACCAACGGTGTGCAAAAATACAGGATAAAATGGTCAATTAATTCGTTTTGCAACTAAATTCAAATTAACAATACTGATATTTGAAATCTGGACAAATCAATTATATATAGTGAATGAAAGTATAAATTTATCTACTTCATTGATATAAGATGTGATGACGCATTCCTGGTAATTGAATCTGCTCAGAAAATAATTCCCCACAAAGATAAAAAGAAACGAAATCTCTTTTACAACTTGTCCTGTACGCTTAGAAATAGTTTAATCTATCAGATTAAAGAAAAATGAAAGCGCCTCTGAGTCGGACAATTGACATATAGATATACTTTGTCTTATATTATGGTGAAATACTGCTTCTATCAATTAATGAATAAATAAAAAAGCATTTAAGGTTAAACATCTTAAAACAATTTCTTTAAGTTATCTTTGAAAAGTAAATGATAACATATGTACAGGTGTTAGTTATCCTTATTCTTTTGTGATCTATATTTTGTCGGTTAGCTGTTCTTTTTTCCGTTTTAATAATTATGAACTTTCAGTTCTTAGTTAAATAAAAAAATAAATAAATTGATTAATGATTTTTGAAACAATGTTTAAAAATAAGGAAGTCATATCATATAACTGAATTAATAAAAAGCAATAACACTTCAAGCCGATTTTTTAACAGTAATTTTCTATTTTCAGTATAACCACTTTTCTTTATGTTACCATGGTTACCACGCTTCTTTTTTCTCTTCATGAACACATGTTTTATCATCGTCTCTGATTATTGTTGTGCACACATGTTCATTATTTTCAAAATTAGCAAAACATTTAAAAGAAAATGGAGACCAATCATTCGCGCTTTTACCATATTGTCTAAATAAACTGTTGAAAAATCAATAGTTGTACAATATTTATCATTCGGTCAATTGATCTTTCGATGAGTAACTAGAACTAATAATTTTTATTTGTCAATTTCAAATCAAAACGGAGGCAAAAGCCGCTAATCGGATTTTCGTTTACGCGTGTTCTTTATCTATGATTATTGTTAAATTGAAACTATGGCCACAATTGAAAATGTTCTTCATTTTTACCATATATTTCATTAAAATTGTGATGTTATCCGTTATTTTGCATTATATTTATGTCACTGATTGTGACCAAACTGATCACATTGGTTTATAGTAAATTAATCTCCTGTTAAATCTTAACATTTCCATCTGTTCCAATGGGACCATTAAAAAGCTCTGCTCCGAAAGAAGAAACAAAAGTTTCACATTTTTAGCTATTATACTATAGTTTTGAATTACCAAAAATATTACTCATTCACTTAAAATCTAATTTATTTCATCGTGTATCTAACATTTCACCTGATAGACCTTTCATAACATTTTTTTGATACTAGTATAAAATATATATGAATCGACGATTTGCCGATGGGAAATATGATATCGTAACAAAAAATCTAAAAATGAGTACACAAATATCATACTTTATATACGAAATGTACTATATGAAAAGCACTTTAACCTTTACAAATTTGTATTGAGTTTTGAATAATAAGTACTATAATGATTAATTATGGATAAGGAAAAATTATTATGTCCTATCTAATCAGCATATCTTATATGATATTTTCACCAAAACAGTATTTTTAAGCTGAGTTTTCAACTTTTATTTCTCAGTTTACAACTGAATTATTTTATTTACATTTGAGAATGGAAATGGGGAATATGTCAAAGAGACAACAACCCGACCAAAGAGCATTCAACAGCCGAAGACCACCAATGGGTCTTCAACGCAGCAAGAAAATCCCGCACACGGAGGTGGTCCTCAGCTTGCCCCTAAATAAAATTGTGTACTAGTTCAGTGAAAATGGACGTCACACTTAACTCCAAAACATATAAATGAACTAAAATTAAAAAAACATACAAGACTAACAAAGGCCAGAGGCTCCTGACTTGGGACAGGCGCAAAATTGTTGATTATATATTAATCGGCAGGTAAATTTTATATGTTCTACAATCATGTCCTGTTGTTCGGAGCGCCTTAAGTGCCATATACATATACAATTTTCGTTCGCCCGAGATTTAATCTGGTGCACATCAGTTTGAAAAATCGTGCGCACCACTTTGAAACTAGTGCGCATGAAAAGTCGTGTGTACCATTTATGAAAGTCGTTCGCATTATTTTAAAAGTCCTACACACCATTTTTGAAAGTTTCGCACCAGTTTTTTGAAATGACATGCGCATTAGTTTCGAATTCTTGCGCACGATTTTTGAATTTCGTGCGCACCAGTTTTAAAATCCAATGATTTGTATTTTAACAACTAAAGTTTCACGTGTCTGGTGTAAATTGCAGGACAAAAACAATATATGTACATTGTCGGAAAATATAAAATGTATTTGTACTCGCTGCGAAACAGGAGAAAAGCTCGGAGAGCCTCGCTTTTCGTCCTGTTTCTAAAGCTCGTACACATACATCTTATATTTTCCGACAATGTACATACATTGTATATAATATATGTTATGCTTTAAATCTGTTATATACACCACTTGTATACATCGGTGAATGTCATAAATTTATGTGTTTTTTTAGGTACATATATATTCTGAATGACGGATTGATTTAATAGTCTTTTGGTTTTTTAAAAATGATGAACTTCATTGAGTTTTGTAATTCATGTATTTAAATGGTTTAGTTATAATTGTTATTTTAGATTGACACTTTAACAAAGAAGTCATCTAAATGAAAAGGCAACTGGTAAAAGTGCAAGAAAAACAAATTAATGTTGAAAAGAAAATGGATATTATGATTCAAATACTACAATAAAAAACAAATGAACGAAAAAAGGGAAGCCAAAAGATTAACGTCCCTGCACAAATTGCAGTAAGTAATTATTCATTGTTCAACTTTTAATTAACCTTTTCAAAATATTGCATATTGTACATGTAGTAGGGGATAGTTTATACAATTTTCATTTTTATGTATTGTATCATAACAATATTCACTAAGTTTGCGAACCTAAAAATTCAATACTTAGCAAAATGTCATTTATTTCCTTTTTTCACGGATTACAATTTTTTTTTCGGACTATGTACAAAGAAGTAATTGTGGTCGGCACAAGATTCGAATACATATTGCACACTTACATTTTGTGTTATAATTGTATAAATATTGCAAAATTTTAGACACTTTGATTACATGTTGTCGTGTTTTAATTAGAACGTAATGAAGTCTTGAAGTTAAGAATGTACATGTATATATATTTTATGTTTGCGACTTTCTACACATATAATTATATAACTTTAGTTCTCAGTTGTTCTTGATGCATGCAATTTAAATGCTTATAAGAGCGTATCTTTTTCCTTTCAGTAATCAAGAAGGGATGGTTATCAGCAGGGTATTACTGAAAAGGATTTCATCTGGAGAATAAAGAACGAAACTGGCAGTATTTTAAAGTATGTATATGAAATTAAATGTTTTAAAAGTTTCCTTGGAACTGATTGAAAAAATCTCATGGTTTGTTATTCAAACCAATGTAATTTAATATGTAATGTATGTCCACATTCATCATTAAACGATACGGTTTTTAGGGAAAATGCTCGATTACTTGTGATTTACGACATTGAAACAGATTTAATTTTGATCATATATCTACTTTGAATCATTAATTATGAAATTCTACTTATTCGAGTATAAATCTTAATTTTGTACACAGCTTTTGGGTCAATTTAAGTGAAAAGTTTGCAGGATATATATGTGTATTTGGTAATCATAGTTCTATTCAGATTCAAACAACATTTTAGCACAAATTGATAATTTTACCGACATTTGTTACACTCTTATTTAAGGAAGCTTTGATTTATAGTAAGACTATTTTTCAAATTACTTTTTTTTAGATATAATTCTGCAGAGAACAAAGAGAAGTCTGGATTCATCATAGAATTTGTAAAAGGCCCAATATCCTGATGAAGTGGAGGGTGTTGTTAGAGGTTTGTAGCCCCCAACCCCCAAACCCCCAAACACAAAATAGTCGAAATTGTAGTTCTGCAATACAATTGCTTAGCCTAGAAGGCATGTTTAACTGTCATATTAAGAATGACATCTAAAAAACTAAAAGTAGTCAAATTCAGTTGATAATTTTTTTTATTTTTGAAAGGAGTGTTACGTTACTGAATAAATCCTAGCTTATGTTAACATTACATTGATTCTGTCGGCTTTTTTTTACAAGAGAGTATTTTTTTTTGTGCTATTTTAGGGAGCAACCATTTAACTTAAAGGGGGGAGGGGGTATGGTTTTTTGTCTGAGTCAGAATTTTTTTTTTTCGCCCAAAGCGCGAACATTTTTTTTTTTTGCAAAATTTAACACTATAAGGTATGGGGGAAATCTGGATTCAGAATATTTTTTTTAGGAAATAACCATACCCCCACCCCCTCTTTGAAATCACATGGTCGATCCCTTGTTGCTACACACCTGTATCTTACCTCTTTTTATTTCGAAACATGACGTTCCAAATTACCATTGAATTTACTTCATATGATTTCGGACCAAGTGTTGAAATGAGTAATCCCATTACCAGGGGCCTGTTTTTCGAAAGTATCTTATGACTTAGACATGTCTTATGATGGTCTTAGGACATGTCATAGTCGTTAGATATGTTGTCGTAAGTGTCCTAAGTTACGATATATCATAACTTTTGTCGTAAACTTAAGACACTAGCTCGCGACATGACTTATGATGGTCTTATGATTATCAACTAGAATTCTAATTACTTTTCATGTATAATTTCATGTACAATGTACATTACAATAAAAATAATAGTTGTGTTGCTCAGTCGGCAAAATATTTAGATTTATTCTTCTCCATTTTGCATTCAAACTTTTTGAATCTCCTGCGACGTAAAGTTTGGACTCCTTTTCTTACTCATGATTTTGAAAAATAAATATACATATTATTTCTTTCCTTATATATTACTTTATTTACGCATTTGCACGGGCATATAAGCAGACACTTTCAGTAATATTTTGAAACGCCATAGTAATTTCCATATTATAAATAAGTTTTATGTTAATGGATCACATACTAGCAAATGCATACTATCATATAACTTTAATAGATCTATTTTGATTTCGATCATATCACATCAAAACATTCTACCATGGACTAACCAAGTGACACTGTTTAGTCTCAAATGGAGACAAGCAATTGTATGTTAAAAAAATATTTCTTTTAAATTGCCTTAAGTAGATTTTTTTTTTTAGAAGGGATAAAGACAAATTTTGAATCGTTCAAAGCAAAGAAACGAAGAGACGAAACTGGTAAACAAGAAGAACATAACAAGAAAATGGCTGTGTACAGCAAGATGAGAAGAGTAAGAACTGATTTTTTTATTATGGTGAACAATTCAGATATTACAGTCAACATAAGAAGCGGATTTAGACGGGAGTTTTATTTAATATTATATACTTATATCACTCTAAACAGGGAACCCCCTTTTAACTTCATTTTCTTTTTGCTTTTCACTAAATTCCTTTTTTTGACGCTACAATAAAAAAAGGAAAAAGGTGACCATATCTAAGGACGTCACATATATATATACTAGTATATACCTCATTTTGCAGATCAGTGAAAAAGTTTGTCTACGTAACGTCTAAAAATCAAAATAGAAACAGAGTCCAACACCGAATCTCGTGCAATATAATATTTCTCCACTATCGACAATTGAATTTTCAATACTCAAAAAGCTCGGCAGGCCTTCACTTGATGTAGCGGTAGAATTTCTCTCTCCCTCTCTCGCCGGCCGGGCTTTTCAAGAGAGAGAGAGAGAGAGAGAGAGAAATTAAATGCTAGGAATTGAGTGTTCTGTTGGATTATATTATATTCATAAATAATATACAGCATGCTTTCTGTCACAGTAATCACTAGTATTGTTTTTACAGACTGCTTTTTGCTGAGGTTATAATAATAATAATAATAATAAAAATAATAATAATAATAATAATGATAACAATATCTTTATTGAAAGAGAGTTATTACGGCATTTATGGAATCTATTTGTATGTATTCAAAATGAAATTCAAGGGATTTTGATTTGAGCTTTATTCTCTTTTTTTTTAGAAATTAAACAACAGAAAAAAGGCCCTAAAAGTAAAAGTCCAGTATACCAGAGGAACAAAAAGAAAAGGGCTCGAAAAGCCTTGTGGTGCAGAACATGTCTTATGAACAAACAGATTCATAAGACGAAGGATCGTTTATCGTCAGACCTCTGCCTTGGAGGTCTGACGATGTTGATAAATTAGTAAAAAAAACTAGGCCAAAAACATGATGGTCAACTAACCAAGAGAAGGAGACGGCAGCAACATAAACGAAAGGTTGGGGCAGTTTCCTCAAGGATAAAACCAGAAGTCGTGCCAGGACATGAATGGGTGTTTAAATAGTTTAAAAATAATGTCAATGATTTAACTTTATTCGTTTATAGTATACAAGTTTTACCGACCAAAGTAAATGCTACATGTAATTGTTAATAATTTTTACACAATTATTTGTCCCAAACTAAAAAAAACAAAAAATCTGATATATCGTTCTATTCTTATATTAACATATTTCAGTCATCACAAAATCAAATAGATGCGAACAGAAAGAGAAAAAATACATCTTCATGTCGGATGTCAACATACCGTCTTCAACAACAACAAGCGGTTAGAAGGAGAAAGTTTTTGATAAAAAATAGTAAAGAAAAGTGCTTCTTGAAACAACAGTATTGTCGTAATGGGCAAAACTATTTAAAAATAACACGAACAATGTACATTTCATTGGCAAAACAAAATATAATAACTTTTTTGATTTGTAACCTAGCATCACGGAAAATAAATGTTAAAAAAATATTTTTTTATAGAATCTTCATTTTTAGATGGAAAATCTTGTTTTTTTTTTAAATATGGAAGTGATACCGAGAAAATAAGCAGTGTATTATTTGCACATAGTAGTAAAAAAAAAAGAAGACAAAATGGTAATTCTTCGAAATAGTAAGAAACTTGGTATATATTAAATTTCAATGTTTTAAATATTTCTTTTGTGCGTAATTATACAATATAAACAAGAAAAAGCTAGATAGCAGTAAATTTTATCTGGTACCCTGATGTAAGCAATCATACAATGCACGTATACAACAGTTGGTTTTACATTTAAAATTCTTGTTTTAGTGGTGAAGCTCTTCATTGTGTATTTGTTATATTATATTGATGTCCATGAGCATAATCAAATATATATTTTGAAATTGATTACACTGATAAAACATATAGACATGTAACTGGGATCTTATATGTGAATCTTTTTTTTTCAATTGATTAAAAACAGTAAGCAATGAAAGGGAAACAACTCTTGTTAAAATAGGAATATTTTTCGTATCTTTAAAAATTGAAGAAATTTGTTTTTTTTTTTTTTTAGCTTAAAGGTTTACACGTTTATAATTATTAACATTCTTATAAAAAATAAGTATTAAGATCTTGATTTTTTTATTTTAATAAGAAAGGGGTTGTATATAATTGGGTGCTTGTTAAACCCTCCAAATTACGTTGGATTTTATTATTCAGCTCGAATCTTTGTATTCAAAGGGAAATAACTCTTTCTATTAAAATAGTTGTTAGTTGTAATTAGGTAAGACAATCAAAACAACCACAACAAAAAGGATTCTGCAAATATGTTACTGCTTATTATATTTAAATACTCAGTCCTTTTACATCATGAAGTTGATATGTTTTTGTTCCTTAAAAACAGCTTTAGCAAAAACAAACAAAAATGCACAAAATTAGAGTTTTATAATTTTGTTATGTATGTAGATGTTTTTTTTAAATTATTATAGAACGGAATGTTAGTACTTTAATTTGTCATGTATTTGTAAATTGAAAATAATGAATAAATTTAGCTAAGATTCTAGATAATTGTTTTTTTTTTATTCAGGATTTCGCCATAGTCTAGATCTCCATTACGGGCAGCTTTTTTTTATGAATTTCCAGTTGCTCCTCTCACTGTAATATCTTATATTTTGAGGCAATCATGAGTGTTTAATTCGAATTATGGGTTGTGGCAACTTAGGGTGTACAATTATGGCTTTGTTTGTTATACTGAAGTATGTTTGTATAAACAAATATATCTTGCATTATAATAGGGTTCGATTGTAAGAACTGTTACTGGTCATATGTGGATGAAAGCTGCAAATATATACTGTTTTCTGTCGTGAATTTGCAGGTCAATTGGCATATATTTGGTGCACCAAACACGGAGATTACAAAGATTTTCGATAGTAAATGGAGTCAAAATGAGTTTAAATTTGAAGTAAATCAAGTTATTTCACACATTAAATCTTTAAACTTGAAGTTGAATTTGATTTCAATTTGCATTAAATGAAAGTTTATCGTTGTATTAAATTTGTAACTCGATGTTGAATCAGATTTAAAACCACAGTAAACAGCTTACCGTTTGGAATATTATTGACTTTAATTTGTAGTAAATCATGTTTTACAGATTTTCTCTACATTAAATTTGATGTTGTATGTATATTAAACTTTGTTAAATTCGAAAATTACTGGACAGTAAATCAGGTGTCAATTCATGAACTTACTGCGTCCAGTAAACTATTTGTAAACTACTATTAAACATTGCGTTTACTTGAACTATAAACTACCAGAAAAAAAATAAACTCGGAAATTAAGACTGATTTTTAAGTAGTTTATTGATACCTTAAATTAATACTTTCATGCAGTGTTATATCAAGCTTTTCGTTTGTTTTTTTTCTGTGTAGTGTTGTAACGTTGCCTTGGGAAGTACGTGCAGTCATAAATTTTGCATTTTATTGAGAAATGAGATAAGTTTGGAATGTCTTGCGACAGTTGTCAGCCAATCAAAAATACAGGTTTGTATGAAACATACATGTAATGTAACTATTCATTAGTCATTAATACCGTATAATATATCAAAGCTTGCGTTTTCTATCAGGATTTCTATATTCCAGAATTTATACGTACCGATGATTATTGCATTTGACAATGTCTAAGGGTAAGGCACATCAACAAATTCGTTATGGTACGAAACCTTTTCACATACTATAGGACTTATCAAATTTGAAGGTGAGGAATGTGATGTGTGACTCTGTCCTTTTCACAGTTCAAAATGAACCTTAGAAAGAATCGAGAAATTTTGAGTTGAAAACCAATATTTTGTTCATTGTAATTCGAAATTCATCAAACATGAAAAAAGTCGCTATACATAAACACTTCTGTTTTGAGTTACGCTAAATTTGAAAGATGTCTATTACATTGTCTTCACATTCTGTCAACTTTGTTCATTTCGTTGTCAAATTTTCGTTGAAAGTCATATAATCCTATTGAAAATAGATATAATGATTAAGAGTCTCAATGAAACTGTGCTTTTCCCGTAAATGATATGATATCTATGTAACTGTGTCGATATAATAACAAGTGATTTGAAAGAATAACCAAGTAATGCAATTTTTTCTCTCATCAGTCGACATTTTGTTGAAGGTCATACGGTGACATGTCGTTGCTTACATCCACGCCATTTGAACTCTTGTGCATAATTGTGTCATTGGCAATCATACCACATCTTCTTAATTTATGTATATTAGTATATATTTACCAAATTAGTGATTCTTGTTATTCATATTATTAGTAACAATCAAAGCATTTTTTTTACATTCTTGTATCATTAGCAAATAATTTTGGAACGGATTTGATCACATGTCTGACAATGTTGGTCTTATTGACATTCTAGTATTATCGTTAGCAAAAATCTTGGAACAGTAGTCATTGCGTGGCTGGCAAGGTTAATCTTAAATCACTCTAAAAGTAAAGTAGACCATAATCTTAATGATATATACACCGCAATAATCGGGCATCAGATCAAAGCTAATGTTGGAACCAAGTCAATAATAATCAAATAAATCACTTTATGGAATGGAAATATAACATATTATGTTATTTTATATGTACATTAGTATCAAGGGTGGTATGGTAAGTATTTATATGCCAAAAATAGCACAGGATTGGGGTAAGTTTAGACGTCCTAAGATAAGGGCAAGTACTTCTAACCTTGACAGAATTTTCACGCTAAATAGTTTTATCAGGGACGATGCTGGTGGGCGAAATAACCACCTTTGACTGATTTATTTGAATTGCTGCTAAAAAGGTTTTCGATCCTGCTAACACAAATTCCGTGTCTGATCTTAATTTAAGTTATGAGGATAAATAATTTCTCTGTAGCTTGGAAATTGCGGTAACCAAATATCTTTTTAAAACTTTAGTATTTCAATTGACAACATCGATCAACAAAACTATTTGCTGTTTCTGTTAGAAAAATGTATTCATTGACATTTAAATCATTTGATTAAATGATTGATTGATTGATTGATTGATTTTTTTGTGTTTAACACCACTTTCAGCACTATTGAACACATTTGACCGATTTATTTGAATTGCTGCTAAAGAGGTTTTCGATCGAAGTTATGAGGTTAAATAATTTTTCTGCAGTTTGAAAAATTAAGCAACCAAATATAATAGTTTTTCAACTTTGATATTTCAATCTACAACTTAAACAAAACTATTTGCTGTGTCTGTGTATATTCATGAATCTTTAAATCATTTATATAAAAGAAGATGTTGGGTACACGACACCTTGATTTCTAAAAAACCATAACAAAACAACCAAAATACGATTAGATATAATAAATCTCCCCAACAATACACATGATTGTGTTTATAACATACGCCAAGCTTAAAATCGCCCGACAAAAATGTGGTTAACTTCAATCAGCAATATTTCGTTGACAATCAACAAACTTGTTTGTATTAAACTGATCAGCCTTTTTTCGTTTACCACAACAGAAACAACATCACACATGCGTCAGACTATTATGTTTATATTCGTTTAAAAGTTGATAAACATTTTAATTTGTATCTTGAAAAGAGAGGAGTGCTGTCGATAAATTATCATTTAAATGTTTTGAAACATTCAAAGTTGCAATTAAACTGTTTACTGTAGGTTTCATAATTTATGAATTGATACCTTGAAATTGTTGACATCCAGTGGCAGATATTTCACAAGTCATTAGGACGAGAAAATATTTTGCCTTTCAACAAGCCAACTACGGAGCCTTCAAAGAGATGTTGCAAGGACTCTTTTAAGCGTTCATTGAGTGTGGCAATCACTTTGAAAATAAAGCATCAAAGCAATGGATTTAACATCACCATTCTGAACTACTGCATATATTCAGAAACCCTGCACAACCAAACAGCCTCTTAAGCAATTAGAGTTTAATCTGCTAAACTGGAGAATTCCAGGTGACCATATTACGTCTATACCCATGTCAATCCCTTGGATTAGATATATGATGAAATTTGACAACTTAAGTGTATCATTGAAATCAAGAACCGAATCTGTGGATATTGTACAGATGATATGATCAGTTACAACTCGGTTCAACTGATTTACATTTCAAATGTCGGCTTAGTACATCTCCAACTGTATAAAATACATTTGACTAAAGTAAAACTCGTACGTGATAGTATTCGTCATATTCGATAAAATAGCAATTACAAGCCGAATTTTATGCTTATAAAGATCAAAACTGATACAAGAAAAATCGTTTTCATCAAAATCTACAAATTGGAAATTCATTAACTGTGTCAACAGGAGCGAAAATTGTATACTATATTTATTTAAAAAGTATATACATAAAATGTCATTTTTCTAAACTTAGGTCAATTTGCTTGTATTGCCACCTGTGTAGATTCCAACAATACCTATTTCAATCTGATTAAGATACAGATACTGTTTCACGCTTTGCTTAAAAGGATCTGACAACACGACGTTCTATATATATATATAGTCTGTTCTAGAAATTATTACATCAGCCAATGAAATTCCTACCTAAAAAAATTTTGATATGTATATCATTACGATAAAACCAGAAAGGTCTTTAAACATTGAGGGTAGAACAGACTTGACACTACTTGACACAGGAACAGTATTTTAATATGCGACTGTCATACGAGTGAGAGGTTTAGCTAGCTATAAAACCTGGTTTAATCCACAATTTTCTACATAAGAAAATGCCTGCATGTACCAAGTCAGGAATGTGACAGTAGTTTTCCATTCGTTTGATGTGTTTGAGCTTTTGATTTTGCCATTTGATAAGGGACCTTGCGTTAGAATTTACCTTGGAGTTCGGTATTTTTGTTATGGAACTTTTTAATCAGATTGTACCTAGTTTGACCCGTAATAGACGACGTAGAATACATAACAGGTTGTCTTGTCCCTCCTATGTTAACTAATTCCATTTACATGTTGTTGCTGTAGTTTATATTCTTTAAGCTATTCTTATTTTTCCTTAACAATTTATTTACTGCGTCTCATTTTCTCGTTCACGTATTGTTCTTTGGTTTTCTGATTTACCTTTAGGTGCAATTGGTTTGTTATCGTCTACATGTAATTTTTTCAACTTTCTAAATGACTGAAGCGAAATGCATTGAACAACACAACGTCATTACTGTTATTTCTTTATATATGAAATATGACAAGACGACAAAAGAATTATATCTGCATGTTTGCACATAAAAGAACCTTTGCAACATTTTCGATTGAGGGGTCTCCGTTCGAGTGCTGTTAGTAAAACAAACTATCGTCCCGTCAGACCTGTAGGATCAACTGGAAATTGAAATAACGTCATAAACACAATCATGTGCACCTGCCGTCAGATTATGGATGTTGGAGTAAACATATTAGTGGTTGATATTCGCGAAGCTTTAGTTTTGAAATTTCAATCGCAAAACCGGTTCGCAAATTTCTTTTTTGCGCTTTTCTTCTATAGGATTTGATTTACTTTTCCTTTGAAGATCAAATTTACATGGGGAAACATTTTCGTGATTTCATTTTGATCACAAAATCAGTGAAAATTTCCCATTTTAAAGTTGGAAGTATGAAGTATGAGACCTTAAAAGTTCTTTGTTTTAGTATACAGTCACGTCCGACCAAAATCGTAGGACGTCAACCCTAAGATTCACGATTAACTGTAACTAAAATAAACTTGTATACAAGTCTGAGGTTTGTTGTGGCTTGTAACCTGGTTTAACCAATCGCTTTATACGTTTACAATTGTCAAAATTTAGGAATATGACAGTCAATCATCAAATCATAGTCCTTCAAAAGGATTGTTCCTGGAAAATGCTTTGCTAACTTCTACGTCATTTTGTCTCTTGTGGAAAGTCGTCTCTTTGGCAATCTTATTACATCTTCTATTTTTATATTTATTTTGGTTTTTTTTTATATGCGTTAACTAAAGTATAAAAATAGGAGATGGTATGATTGACCCAATGAGACAAATATCAACTAAAGAACAAAGGACGAGGATTTAACAACTAAAGGTCACCTTACGGTCTTCAACAATGAGCAAAATCATTAAGGTCTTAACGGGAAAGTTGGTCATCTCTTCAAAAATTGAACGGAAGACACGATGATTTGGTTGACAGTAATATTATACCTGTGCCGCAGATTACCTCGAATAAGTTAATTCTGTCGTAGCCATGATCTCGTTCCGTTTTCTGTAAATGCCATAATCGAGTTATCATCTGACTTTCCCTTGTCATGAGAAATACAAGCCTCCTCCCCCTCCTTTTCCCCCCTGATCTTGTGAATATCGTTTTGCTCAATCTTTTGGTGTTTTCTATATTATTTTGCGTATTTTGAACTGTTGCTCGTCTTTTGGCATCTTCGCTAGCCAAGGATCTAGTCCCCTCCTCTCTACCCTTGTCTGATTAGATACAATTTCGGATCCACAAGGTAATGATTTCCATTGGTTGCAGTTGTAACTGGCTGCAACCAATCAAAACGCCCCTTTAAGATGATCGCGTATAAATGTAAAAAATGTATAAAAAAAACAATTGCCACGTGCTGATTGTGCAACAAGTCTTTACCCCCAAAACATAGGACGATATTTAGTGACAATTTCAATATTCTCAATCAACTAACTGAAGTTCCTGGGTATGTTTCTAGCGCAAATGTTGGAATGTCAACGCATATTTTCGGTTTCTGCTTGACGAAATTTGCAAACACTAGACGTAACCATTGTTACACCTCCTCACTGAAGAGAGTTCAAGTGCTGCCATCCATTCCATTAGTCAAGAATGATGTAGTCGGAATGGGCGTGACTTTTATCTACCGTTCGATAGCGCAGCATTGTAATCACAAATGTTGGCTTAATCTGCGGTCTTAATCTGCGGTCTAAGATCTAAGTCTTGGACAACGCCAATTTAATTCCTTGTTCGACGGACCCGCCCGCACATATTTTTTTCTAAACGGAAAAAAAATATTTTTAAATATTCCCGCATCCGGAAAAATAATCGTGTCTATTTCCCGCGCTGGTTTTTTGTAAACATTAAAAAAATAAAAGCGATCGCCAGAGCGGTTTAGTCAACGTCAAATCGCGACCCTTTAAACAGTTTCGAACATTAACATAGATTTCTTATCAAAGTCTAGGACGATTATTCACAAGATCATGACGATTTTCGTTGTTAGAATAAAGGACGCAGAAGGAGGAGAAGTGTTGCCTTCAACTGCAATATCGTTTGCCAGCGGAAGTTTTGTCCAGCTCTTCCAATATTACATTGACACTAAAAAGCTTAGCCTGTCAGCTGATAATGTTACAGGAGTACACTTAAAGGAGTTGTCTCATTGGCACTCATACCACATCTTATTTATATACAAAGTGCCAAGAACAAAAATGAGAACACCAAAACGACGGAGACACAGACAACCAACATATAACACAAAAAACTAAAAAGTACACACATCAACGAACAGCACGAAACCCTAAAAACTGGGGGTGAATTCAGGTGTTCCGGAAGGATGAGCAGTTCCTGCTTCTTGCAAGACACCCGCTGTGTTACTAGTTATAAGTCATATCCGTTGAAGGAGGAAAGACATCTATGACAATTCAATGGAGATCATTTAAGGCAGTTGAAATAATTATTCAATTATTCAGTTAAAGATCTGATGTTCTCAGAAAGTAACAGTAATACAAGAAGTCATAAATATGCTGCAAGTAAAAGTGGGCATTACATGTATTGGTGAACAGGAAAAAAAACACCTCAGCAGTTGATAAATTAAAGAAATGTCAAAGTACAAGTGGTAAATCAAGTTTCATACCATCTTGTTTTGATCAATATTGTCAGAACCTATGATTTTATGTTTACAAAAAAAATGTAATCGCTCGCCTTTACTTTTCAAGCTTCGTCTCAAAAATTTGCAAATTAAATTTTTGTTCATTAAAATTTTCAAATCGCTCGCTCGCTCCAATTTCTAGAGTGGAAAAATCCGTAGAACAAGAAATTAAATGGGTGTGACCTTGGCTAGCGAAGATGGTCTTTTCGTACCATGTTTTGTCCACGAAGTTATTTTAGACCTGGTTCTCAACCTTTTAACATACGGGTATCTACAAATGTAAGTAAACCTTGTCTTCAGGGACAGGAAAGCGGTCATTATGTAACCCGTCTTCTTCGACATGTTTCTATTTGTCACCTTGACATCATCTACTTTTTAAAGATATTTAAATCAAAATGTCGGAGTCTGCATATTACTGACAATACTATATTAAGCGATTGTATAACTTTATTTTGTCAACATATAAAAATGGTACATATTATAACGACATAGTATTAAATATACAAAACATTCACCAATAAAATAACAACAAATAAATATGAATCATTTCATCTTGACTAGTCTGGTTTTTCTAATATTCAAGTATTCAGTATGAAGTTTTGTCTTTTTCATCAAAAGAGATGTTTAACTTTATATAACCGAAACAATCCCATTGACTCTTTTCGACAAAAAAAACCCTCTTCAACTGTATATCCTTTTGAATGCAAGTAAATTTGCATGAATTTTACATCAGTACATTATAGTAATTTATATTCGGATATACAGGAGGGTCTGGATGGGGTTTACAGAATAGAGAATAAGTGGCAAAAATTGCAAAATAAAGGGCAAAAAAAATAAAGAATAGAGAAAATAGGCAAAAAAAGGAATAGAGAATAATAGGGTGCTAAAATATGAAGAATAGAGATTAAAGGCATAAAAAATTAAAGAATGTAGAAAAATGGCTAAAATATTATAGAACACAGAAATGAAGAACCCCCCAATCCTGACCCTAATACAGTTATAGATCCTGTCAAGATGGAACGATCATAAAAGTTCATTGTTAACTTACTGGTGTATACAATAAATATATTTGTAAAATAGTAAAGCTTAACGTCTAGGTTAGTATCACATACTTAAAGCATACATTAATTATATCATACGAGATCTATATTCCCTCTCGGATCCTCCTGGCAGTGATCAACCACATCATCAGTAAAATTACTTCTTTAAATACAACAGTTTGCGTATGAATATTGTTATGTCTAATTAATTACGGATACTTTGCGTTAATACAAAACAAATGTTGCAATTTGTAAAGAAGTAAAATTACCAACAGGTGTTAATCTTACATACTTATATGTATAAATGCCATTCTTGGTGCAAGAATGTGCATGTTCATTGTGTATATCGCATCCAAAATATGCTAATAACACATAACTCTAATGGTACCTACATGTACATTTTAATTATAAAACAGGGAATAAGATCCTAAGCAATAAACATGTTCTTCGCAAAATCTCGTTTATCGACGAGACTTCCAAAACTTCGTGTTAAATGGTTATGAAATGCATGTAGCATATAAGGTTTCAATGAATGTATAAATGAATGATCAATTTTACAATCATATGTTACATAATGAATATGTACAAAGAAATAACTTTTAAAAGTAATATGAAAGACATAATCGTAATTAAAGAACAATAACTGGCATATCAAGTTCATCGATCTACATGAGCACTAACTCCCTGAGTAAACTTACATCTGAGTCTATGTTTCAGAAAACACCTTCAAGGTCACGTGAACGTTTTACGTTCATGATTGTTCAGTGTCACTTGAACGCTTTTCCTAAGTAATGCTCAAGGTCACTCGAACGTTTAACGTTCAATCACACTTGTGTTTTACGGTCACTTCCACGCGTTGGGTGCAATTATTCTCCCGTCAATATCTTTGGAACGCCGAATTCTAAGGACATATTGTCCACAACGCATACTTCTGCAACATCCATAATGTCATATATACGATTTATAAAAAAACGAATTCTGTCTTACAGTATATCACATTCATCACTTTTCTCACTCTTTCGCAGACATAAGCAATCATTCTGATCAATTGGTCCCTGTCAATATACGTCATGGTTTCTACAATTCTGCAAAGATAAAAAAATAAAATAGGTTACACCCATGTAAACTAATATACAGCTCTCGGTAGAAAAAAATCATCTTTTGGAATAAGATCAATTATGATACGAATGTACATGTTTACAATAACTGAGGGTTCAAACTAAAATCGATGTATTTTTAAACAATTTGTCAAATAGTTCTTTTTGAGAAAAATGTAATAAAGTTTGTGAACAGCCATCATTTTTTTCGAGAGACAGGTTTTACAAAATTACTTTCTATGAAAGGAAGAAAGGACGAAAACTCCAGTATTCAGATTAATGTTTTCGTTTTCTTTAATATTTCCATGATATAATGTATAAACGTACTATACACATTGGCGAGAAATCCCCATATGATTTGAATAGCAAAATTTCATTTAAAGAATATGACTGTCTTAAATACTTGATAGTTTATAAAAGCTTTTCGTGATCATTACTCATATACTTTCTATGTAGCAAATTTTTGGTCAAATTCAATGATCTGAAATATATGATTCAAGCTAATAAAAAAATTAAATTTATTTCTTAAGACTATATCTTCGGATTTTTGGAAAACAGAATTTAAAAAAGAAGCCGGTACCAAAATGTATTGGATTTATGTGGTTTTTTTTTGTACAAGTTTATCAATAGTGAGAGTAATGCGCTGATTTGAAAACTATTGTGTAATAAACCTACCGTCGCACAAAGAATCCCAAATATTTTTCTTTAACGTTTTAAGTTCATTATAGTTGCTAACTTTAAAGAAATTTTTGACTCCTCCGTAGGGCGAATCCGACATCATCATTAACTCTTCCTGTGGTTGGTCATCCCCAACTTGTATCACGTAAACCTCAATACCATGAATACGAGCTCTTTGTGCCTCCGAAAGTGCTTTCAAGGGATCATCCAAATTACCATCAATGATTAAAATTGCTATTTTTCTCGCATCACGTCTGCCTCCATCCCTATGACTAAAAGCTCCTCTGCGCATCCTTTTAAGCATACTTCCAAAGTCGACATTCTCTTTGTCTGTTAGTGCGTCCACTGCATCTTCTTTTGTGTCCTTGGATCCTAGTTTAAATCCGGTGCTGCCTTTTTTACGAGCCCCGCATGCGTCCTCTGCCATAAGACCAATTTGAATTTTATCCTTGTCGACATCCAAATCATTAACGAGATCCTGTACAAATGCCAAAGCTTTCTTTGTGTTCTTTTTACCAGCGTTTACACTATCTAGAAGGAACATCAAGTCAGCCTCTTGTCTTGATCCACAGGCTATTAACACAAAATAAAAAAAAACATTAAGAATAGCGTCATCATCATTTTATAATCTTAAGCTCTTATTCTTTAAATCTGATATCCAAGTTAATTTTTTATTAATATAATTTCACTAACCTTATGTGCATCAGTAAAACAAATAAACAATTCTTCAGATAAAAACAGCTAATTGGTAAATTTTATTTTAACTCGGGTGAATTGTATTATTTTTTTAAAAGCTTGGATGCGTCTTAAAATATCGTTGTTATCTAAATTGTTTCGTGGCTTTTAAAGTTGTTATAACAGCCTGATTAATACCACCCCAAAAGTCAAGAAAAGCTAAATGCAAAATGTTTTAAACGGATGGTGAGGGTGGGAAGTAATTGAATTGTATACAAAAAATGTAGACTATCGGATGGGTATTCAGATAAAAGTACATACTGGATTTCATTCTTGCTAGACAATGGATTTGCTCGATTAATATCGCATTCTACCCGGGACAGTTCTGTATTATTGCATTTATGCTATAATGGGGGAAAGTTATATAATGTTCAACCATACGTTGCACAAGCAACACTCGCCAGTCTCATAAAATATCACAAATATCAACCAATTGTTAAAGCCCTCGTTATTAAATATCATACGTTGTCGGATAATGGACATAATTTCACTGATACTTACACATATCCGAAACTGTTATTGCTGGCTCAGTAACTGAAAGTTGAAAAGAAAATTTGCTTATCATTTTATACATGTTAATATTTAAATAAATATACAAAGATGTGCAGGTTTTAATATTAAGAAGATAACATAGTATATGAGATATAAATGGATACACCTGGCTGAATTAACATATTTGATATTTTACATAAATTTCAATACTTTTTTTAAAATTTGAAAGACAACTTATAATCCGCAAATCTTCAACGTATGCATGCATGCGTTATGCAATACCTATCTGTTAAACAGATTAAAGCTGAATGTTTCAGGAGATGAACTGTTGTACACTCTGTCACGTGTTTTCTGTGTTCAGAACGTGCAAAGATTACGTGATTTAAAACATCTTTAAAATACATTCTAATTAATGTGGAAAAAATGTGTAGCTTTCAATAACATAACATTTAGCATAAAACTAAGCGTTTAAAGTGTACCTTAAATGCTACGTGTAATTGAAAATGGGTGTATAATGTAGGTGTGACATAAATTTATGCAGTATTCTATTAAATATAAGTGAACTGATTAAGAAAAGTATTAAGTAAACATAAAACATCAATTTCTGAGTATTAAGGTAAATCCTACAGTTTATGTTTATTATACGAGTAGATATACATTTGAATTCCTTCATATAACTGAATCTGAGAATAAACGCATTTGTTATAATTATAATTAAATAAGAATTCGACGTTTGCGTGAAGTAATGATTTTTAAAGTTTGTCAATAAGTTCCTTTTTGGTAATAAACTCTCCAACTGTTTCGGTTATAATACATCCTTCGCTTTCAAATATTCGACACTGCGCCTTCATGAAGAAGGTAAATCAAGAAAAGCTCTTCGGAAGAATGAAATTTATAAACTAAAAGTGTTGTTTTCATTTTTTTCAACTGGGTTAAATATAATTTCAAATATACAATATTACTTAAACTTTAAATGTTTTTTTTATTTTTCAATTTTTTTCATTTGATTGATTACAATTACCTTCGCATGTGTTGATGGCAACTTTGGGAAGAACAAAATCCAAGTCATCGAACGTAGGTAAGATATGTTGGTAGCTGTCGTCTGTTGTACCTGCTATCGCTCGGAGTTCCTCAATATTTACATCCCCAATTCCTATCGGTATCAAGGTGATTCCCGCCCTTCTTGCTTCAGTTGCCTGTTTCTTTGTTCTATGTAACGATGACGAGGGGCTTGCTGTGATAATGATAGCAACTTGAGCTGCATGACGTCTAGAAACGCTTCTTCGGAATGACTTTGTTCTGATGTATCGAATGGCTTCATCCATTCGAGTTCCACCTGCGGATTTTTCAACTCTATCCAAAGCAAAACTGAGGCCTTCTCGAGTTTCATATTGTGGCAAATCAATCAATTGTTGAACTTGGTCACTGTATAAAATGGCTCCGATTCTAGATTTATTTTGACCAATAACAAAATTGTGCATTATACGTTTGGCAAATTCAAGCTGTTTTTTAAATTCGTTTGGTCGGACATTGTTTGAAGAATCAAAAGCAAAGACAATATCGGAAACTCCATCAGCGAAGCAAACTGAAAGAAAAAATAATAATTTGTTTTTAAATTTTATTTTCAGTCATAGTACCAAAAAAGTATCGAAAATCTTTACTATTTAATGCATAGACGATATGTTCCAGAAAGATGTATCCTGTTCATCGTAAGGTTACAAAACGGTTAGTACCTTAGACGTGATTTTTATGTCACGTGACTAACATTGATTCCTGCACCTTTAACAAGTTATAATGAAATTGCGTTCCCTTGAAATTGTATTCTCTTTTGCACCGTCATTAGGCTACACAAATATGGTTAAGTTAGCCAATTTATCTTAGCGACAACATGGAAATATCTCTGGCAATTAAGATATTCATTGCTCACTTATTGACGTACATTTTTGCCAGATAACTACATAAATATAACAAAAAATAGGTCATCAGATTCTTTGGCGAATGGCAACAATTAGAATCAATGGAGCTCTACATCCTTGGCTTTCAAATATTCGACTTTGAGCGTTCAGCTCCTGATGGAGGTAAATTCAGAAAGCTCTTCAAACGCATACTTTTTATAAAGTCTTATTTTCATTTAATCAAGTTCATAAACCATACATTTTGAGCAACCAACTAAATTGACTACATACATGTACATTAGTTTTTAAAATGTGCATATTTTCATTAATCTTACGATGATATTCTTAAAAACTAAATTTGAATTCAGGAACATATAATTTTCGTACGATTTACTTGAATTAAATCTACTGAGAATATAAGTAAATATATATATATAGCTTGTGTGTGCTTACTTCTTCTAGCAGCAGCATACAGCGATTCTGTTGTTGTGGTTGGAATTGTTGTCGTGGCTGCAAAAATAAATACAGTACATTATTTTTTAAATACATTTTTGCAAAAACAATGAGTAATTATATACATAATGACAACATTAGATTTATTACGAAAGAGAGATAGACTGGTGAGACAACTACATGCATCCCATTTTTTATAGGGCAGAACAAGGGATTGGGACAAGATAACTAAAAAATATGTCAAAAATTATCAAAGTAGGTCATTCATTCGCTTTTTTTAATTGATTAATAAATCTGACAAAAATCCCACGACTCCATACACGTGTACATTACACGCCTACTCAATACCACTTAAATTTCACCGCTTTCGAAATTCGGTTACATTTTTCCGGTGATTTATTTGTTATTTATCAACGAAAATTACTTACATTTGTTTCAAATTTCAATGATACGAATCTACTTTAAACTGATCATATTTCAATATCTTAGACACTTGCATGTGAACCGTTTTATTGCCCCATGAATACGAACATAGATAATCAGTAATTTATCAACGAAAATTACTTATGTTTGTTTCAAATATCAATGATACGAATCTACTTAAAACTTATCATATTTCAAGAATTTTTTCTTTGTAAAATATTTTAGACAGTTGCATGTGAACCGTTTTATTGCCCCATAAAATACAAATATAGATAAATGTTCTTTTTTAAGATATCGAATCTACTTGTGTGAGAGTTGAATACTAAAAACTGATTTGAAATAATTCAGTAGAGTTGAAATGTTTTAACGTAGCATATCGAAATAAACTTTTATCTGTTTTCCCTTATTGTTATCAATTATATAGTATCATTCGCCCACTGGGTATGATGTTTTACATTCAGACTTTCAAGAGATTTAGTCGATAAATTTGAAGATTTTTTACAAAAACTTATGTCACATTATATTTGGAAAAGCCACATAATAGGGCCTCAAAGTTAAAAATTAAGGCTGTTTTACTAATTTGTAAAGCACACTTAATACAACTCCTGTCTAAATCTGGTGTATTTGGGGGGAAATGTTTATCGGAAGGCGTTTCTGCAGATTAGTAAAAACACAGCGCATAGGCGGATCCAGGGGGGGGGGGGGGGCCTGGGGGGCCCGGGCCCCTCCTTTCGTGGGAAAAATTTGGTTGATTATATAGGGAATCATTGAAGCATGACTGGAGCGGGCCCCCCTTAGGTCAGTCAGTGGGCCCCCCTTATGAAAAGTTCTGGATCCGCCACTGCAGCGGTTTACAAGCCTAATATTAGGATGACTTCCGTTTTAATTTTCTATGAAATTTGTTTTATTTCATACGTATTTAATCATTTGCTTTTCTATTTATTCAATTATGAAATCACGACTTTAAAAGGGGGAGTCAGAGTAGGACAGTTTTAATCTTTCTCCCGTTATAAGTCACATACACCTTTAATCATAATTCTGTTTTTTCTACATTATTTTTTCAAATGAATAACAAATTGCTTTATTTGACAAGATGACCATGTTTACTAAATTATAATAATCCCACAACAAAAGGTGAAACCCTCATTTATAAAAACAAAAGTTGGCAACAATGATCATCTGCTTAGCCCCTGTGTCTCGATACAAGTGAACAAAGTCACAACTTTTACTTGTAAATAAGCCGAGGGTGACAGTAAAGCAGTCAGCTCATTTTTCTTTTCGTGGGATTAACAAAAGAGCATTCGGAACAAAACGTTAAATCAACATCACTGAGGTTTTCCGAACAAAGTTTAAATCAACTTCTCTCGGATCTTTTATTTATTTCACAAATGTACAGGCCTTAGTCATATTTATTCATATACATGATTTTCATACCCATTCTAACATGTGAACCATAATTTTTCAAAGTTTTCTTTGAAAGGTATTTCAACGGACTATTAATATATAATTATACATTTATGTGCATCCTTTTGCAGTAAATATTTATCAAATATCCTTGATTACTGGAACGTAAATATTTTTGAACTGTGTGATCATAAAACTGTCTTTTACCGTATGGCAAATTATGCTAGTAATTTATATATTTTTTATCATTTTAAGTACATTCAAATTATGCAGTCTGTAAAAACCCGTGCTTAGCACATTGCATTAGGCGTCATAACTCATAGCTCTTTACAATCTATCTGTATAAATAGACGACTTCCCTCTAAAAGACCGAAGTACAATTGAGTGCGACACATCACTTCCCAGCCATGAAAAAATCATTTGACAAGTCGATAAAGATTTTGTTCATCAACTCCCATTAATGTCAGCTTAGCCCACCACCCACCCCCTCGTCTCGTCCCTTTGGCAACCAACATAACCCGCTAATGACATTTGGGACACCTGACATGCTTTCTTTTGCAGGAAATTATGTATGCTGAAAAATTTCATATTTTTGTTACAAATCCTTGATGCTGGTTTCAATTTTGTTGCAAAATCTGTGAATATTAGTATTGATTGGACCATTTGGGGACACCTTCCGCTAATTAAAAAAGAAAAACAGACAATTTATAAAAAAATGTTTAAATGTATTACCACCCTCCCCTTACTTTTTTCAAAAACTGAAGGAAGAATTGACAATCATGAAGATAATTACTCCCGACCCCTCACCGCCCCAACATAACAAAAAAAAAAACACCACCACAGAAACACAGCGTATTTTGTTTTCTCGAATTTACGTGTAATATAGAAATAAGGAGATGTGGTATGATTACCAATGAGACAACTATATGCCCACCAACCCTTATAGAAATAAGAAGATGTGGTATGATTGCCAATGACACAACTCTCAACCAATTGACGTAGAAGTTTAGCAACTATAGGTCAACCTTGCATGTTTGTTACTACATTATGTAGTTGTGCTTACTTGTTGGTGTTGTTGTTGTAGTGGGTATTGTCGTCGTTGTTGTAGGTGTAGTTGTTGTTGGTGTTGTTGTCGGTACAGGTGTCGTTGATGTCGTAGATTTTGGCGTGACTGAAAAAAAAGACAGAGAATTCTAATGCAATCTTTATGTAACAAGGATTTTCATTGGCTAAAATTTACCATCAAATCGTAACTATGGAGTAAGTCACCATATTGAATTACTGGAATCTAAAATGTTTGATTAATACAATATAATGTAAAATTCAACAACATAAGACAGGCAAATTAAATCATGTTATTATGAATAGCTATATAACTAATTAATAATGTCAACACAGAAAAGTGCTTACTTGTGTTTCAGTCAATATCAATTCGTTTCTCTGCCATTTAATCTTACATTTCATGCACATATTTTGATATATTGACATTTTAACTTAAATGTCAATGCATTTATCTGCATGCGATTGTATATTAATTGAAATCTTTCGATAAACCCTTTTAAAATCACTTCATGTGATTCTTTTTAAAGGAAATCTGACATTACGAATTACAATGTAGGTTAAGTGTTGATTTAAAGACTTCACTTAAATAAATTCAAGTGCTTTTCCCATTGCGCTAGTTATTTTTGGTATGGCCTTAAATAAGTTTCCTTCATATTGTTATGCAATACAATACGTCCTTGACCCTTTCAACTTTGTTTTAATTAGAATAAATCTCTTGTACTTCAATTTATCAATGTATTTACATTTTGCCTTCTTGCATTGCGTAAGAAACGAGTCCTCCTGATGCAAAATTTAATTGAGTAATTAGGCGAGTAGCGTCTCATTTATTTCTGCAACGTCAAATCTAAATTGATTTGATTTAGATTGGAATGTAATTCGGCAAATTCATTTTTCACGTGCTATTTAAATCAAACGTACGGTTTTATGACATTTTCCCGAGAAAAAAACAGTTGATGCATCAATTATGATTTGGAGAAATAATGCTTAATTAATTACTTCTTAGAGAAAGGTTGAAAGTTAATCTATTTCATTATACGCTGCGTCAGGCAGACGTCTTTTGAGCAGACTTGTATTGTAATCATAATTGGTCGATTACTGGTTGGTCATATGGAACATCATTTCTTTCAAAGGCCGCATATTTTTACGATTTTTTTGTTTTAAATAGATATTACTTGATTGATTGTTGGTGTTTAACGCCACTTTAAGCATTATTTGCTATATCGTGGCGGCGATTTTTTAGTGATGTAGGAAGCCTGAGAACTGGGAGATAACCAGCAGGAAAAAATGACACCTCTAGTCTAAAAAGATTTCCCTATGTCACGAACGGGGTTTCGAACTCACAACCTCAGTGTTGACAGACTTGTGATCACTGTACATGAACTACTTTTTGTTTCTTTCCTTTTGTTAAGGATGTACTTAGGTCAGGTCTTTTCTTTCGATTTGAGACCCAAATAATACCAATGCAAATATAAGGTAAAAGTCCGAGTCAGCCTTTTCTCGCTATTTAAAAAAAAAAAAAATCTCGAAAATGAGCCCCATAACCTATCAATATTTTTAGCTTATTTTGTTTCTTAACTATCGCTCTTCTGACTTATAGTATCAATTTTAAATTCTAGATTTTTTTTTAATTTCACCTAAGTATATCCTTAACGAACTACTTAGACAACCTGGCCACCGAAGCCACTTTTTTTGTAGAAAATTCTTATACACTAAAAATATATGAATATAGATGTTTCATAGTGAAAATATACGAAACAATCTGAGTACATAAACGGTCATTGACATTGCAGATCGCACACTTCATATTTTGATTGATGTTGTAAGCATGGTAAAGTTGCACTTACAAAACGTAGAAAATTGGCTTAATCACTATTAATTGAATTTTTCAGCTCTTGAACTTTCCATTCAAACGCGTTCACATAAAACTGTCTTTCTTACAACGTTAAAGGGTGTATATATTAAGTCATACTAACAGAGTAAGTAAAACACACTGTCCTTGTGAGAACAGTAATAATAAAGGTATGCCCGCGGTATATCAGTTTATATACAATGTATAAATGAAAACCTTTGAACCCTTGACGTTAATCGTTTGAAGTGAAATGGATAGCTCGCATACCATTACATATGTTACAAAAATGATGACTTGATTATAATATCAACGTAAATAAACTTTTGTATTTTGAATTAGTTGATCTTTAAATTTATATGTCAAAGGATTCGATACAATTCTTTACTTATTATGCTGCATATTTGTACATCATTACATTTTGGTATTTTTATTAACAATCTGAATTTGATTCGGATAACGAAATCATTCATCGGCGACATTTTATTCATTTTCTATTAATTCAAAATTATTCACCCAAACCGGTGTTGATACAAAGTGTCAAGGACTTACAAAAAAAAAATTAGATACGGAATGGTATACATATAATTGGTAGATATGATACGAAATAGTAAACATGAACCTGTAGTGTTTCTATATGATAAGAAATGGTCTTTATTGTTATGCGGTACGAAATGTTGAACTTTGTTACGAAATGGCAATGGTACGAACTGACTAGCTTCGATTTGACATTCTATGTTGACTGACATAATACATCGGTCTTGAATCGAAATTAAAATTAAAATTAGGCCTGCAATTACATGTTCAATGTATACAATGTTCAATGTATACATTTAAGTGCCAGTCTTCGTAAGAATCAGGCAATTTTGAAAAAAATCAAAACATGGCTGAAAAAAACCCACCGAACTAAACATCCTATTTTGAAGTTACCCTCATCCTTGGTTAGAAATGGTAGGTCTTTCATTTCTGCGTGTCTGGTAATTTGAGAAATCTCTAGATAACTTTTGGTTAGAATGATAGCAAATTATGGAGTTAGCTCCCCTTAATTATTAATTTCTAGTGCATTTCAACAAAATTATATCTTGAATTACCAGAACAGGAAAAGGAAACGAATGTTAAATTCGTGCACCATTATACATTTTGAACATAAATTAATGTCAACTTAAGTGGGTTTTTGTTTGTCATGTTTTCACCACTGCCTGATTCTTAGGCAGACTGGCACTTAATGACATACTTTGATGCTTACATTTGTTTCACATATTCTGCTGTAACCTGCGTCAAGTAGTACATATACTTAAACACGACGGGTGCCACATGTGGAGCAAGATCTACTTACCCTTCAGCAGCACCTGAGATCACCCCTAGTTTTTGGTGGGGTTCGTGTTGCTCAGTCTTTAGTTTTCTATGTTGTGTTTTGTGTACTATTGTTTGTCTGTTGGTCTTTTTTCTTTTTTAACCATGGCGTTGTCAGTTTATTTTCGACTTATGAGTTTGAATGTCCCTCTGATATCTTTCGCCTCTCTTTTAGGAAATTATCAACATACCTTTACAAGTTTGGATCGCCAGGACTTGTTTAATGGTGTTCAATGTTCCAAAACTGTTGACTAAGAACATATGTTCCGACGGCGGATTACTGGCGATCATCTTCAGCTCTCGGATATTGATCTTTGGACCAACTCCAACGGAAATCATCCGTATGCCCTCATTTTTGGCTTTAATGGACTCCCATACGGTCATTAACATATTACTAGATTGACCATCGGTGAGGACAACGATGATCCTAGCAACTGTATCTTTGTTTCGATGGTTTACGTGGTGGCCAAACATGTGTTTTCTTGCGTATTGGATAGCCTTCTTCGTGTTAGTTTTGTACCCATGGTACTGCTTTATATCTTGAATGGCTTTAAATAATTCTTTTTTGTTGTAATAATCGTCCAGATCAATGTCTACCCTTATATCATGGCTATAGCTTACAACACCTACTCTTGTGATATTGTGACCAATTGTAAACATATCAGTTATGCTTTCAACGAAGTCGATTTGTTTTCGAAAATCTGGTCCCCATATACTGTTAGACGAGTCCAGAAGGAATACGACATCTGCAGGCTTGTTTCCACAGTAATATTCAATTGCTGCAAAACAGGAAATGACATTTGATTAATATTAGGTATCTTTTAAGTTTCAGTTGCAAGTATTTGATTCTGTGAAGAGAAATTAAAATCTAAAATGCACACCTGCTGTTCCATATTAAATTACCTTTGATTGTAATTACCAGTAACTCATATTATTTTATGTTTCTTGAATTCTATAGTTATTTATTCATATGTCGTCTTGACTAATAAATATAGAAACGACATTTTAAACGTCCACCGGGTATTTATTTTATAATTTTAATTTAAGTTATCATGTGTGCTCGTTTGCGTCTTTGAGATTTTGAAATGCTTCCGGTCAATCATCAGTTCCGCGGCATATTTGACTGTAATACGTTATATATTAATCGGGATCTTCACATAGGATATGGACTCATATTCCTTGTCAGTATGTCACGTGATATCCTATGAGCTGTCATGCGAAGGAAGTATAGGGCACTGAACGTAAATATTAGCCCATGTCCCTTGTGAAGCCCGAATAACAATTATATTACACTGTAGTTTCCTCATTCAACATTTATTTTCATACTGTTCTCCGTTTGTGTATCAGGAAAAATGGACTCATATCCCTTGTCAAGGAAACCAATCATATGGCATTAGACGTGCTTCGACTACAGTTGTATACATTTACATGTATCTGTATAGGTGCATGCGACTTCGATTTTAATTTTATTCAGGAAATTATTAAGTCAATCAAATGCTTAACACAATGCAGAAATAACTTCTAACGAAATGTTTTAAAAGAAAACATCGCAATGTTCTTACAATTGACTCTATGAATGATGAATGACCTTACATTAAATATTTTCCTATGAATCACGATGGACCGCATAATTTTGTTTACAATCATTTTCAGCAAAGAATTCTGAAACCATTTTGTTTACAAAAATATTCAGAAAACACTAGTAAAACCAAATGACAGACTTACTGATACCATCTTAAGGGACAAGAGGTCATATTAAAAGCATATCAAATAATATTCAGATTAAATGGACATAAAAAAGACGCTAAATTTTAAAATGGACATTATTTGCTAATATTCTCAATCTGGAGCCAACTTTCAAATAAATATCTATTTAGAATTTGAAGGACATGCCAAAAGGATTTGAATAAGTTATATTTGAGCTTTTTCTTGAATCAATTGTTTGTTATCAAAATAAAATTCACAAACGTTTTTTGGAAATTTGAGTATTATTTAATTACAATACACACCATAATACCTTATTTGAATAATAGATGATATTTTGAAGGGCTGGTCAAAAGTTCGAAAAATGAGTGTAAAGAAGTTAACATCATTTGTTTAGGTAACACGATTTTTAAAATGGTCAGGCATGCGTCAACATGTCGAGTTGAATTTGAAAATCGAACATGTCATGAATGTTTCGAATAAAATACTTATGCATCTTTAAAAGTTTTGGAAAATATTTTTCTACATTGCAAACTGTCATTATTGAATGACATGTACGATCTTAAGGAATGCAGTTTTCACTGCTTCTGATTTTTCTTTCCTAAGCGGGCACATTTTGATCCTTCTTTTCAAATCATGTGCTGTTATTTATTCCCGTGTAGAAGTTTGTGATTTTCTTGTTTCTATTGTTTTATTGTGTGTTGTAGTTATACGACATATGGACTTTTTAGACAAAAATGGGAGGGGGAGTGTTTTCACGTAGATCTTGTTTAGCTCCATTACATTATGTCTGTACCAACTGAAGTTATCTAGTCCATGTGTTGTTCTGTGTTGTTTGCCATTTGTGAGATGGAGTCGAGTGTTGGGGTAAATGTGGTCTATTGTACTGTGCATGTGCAATATTTTTTGCGATTCCTGTTAACCCCTTTTATGTTCATACCATTGATAAATTTGAGAACGGGAATGGAGAATGTGCAACACAGCGAGAAAATCTAGGACCCGGAGACAAGCTGCATATTACTTTAAGAAAATTTAACGGAAGATTTGAAGTACCACATAAGTAGTAGATTTCAATCATAGAGGAACGGATTTATATATTTCGGTGAAAAGGTCAAAAGGTCTTCAAGTAAATTAAATATGCATAGCCGTATAAATACTGAGCTTATTTTTTGTTTACATAAAACTTTTGTGAAAAGAGCTTTGGTAAAATCTGAAACTGTATCAATGTTTAAACATTCGTAGGGATAGAATGTCATATTTGGACAAAAAGGTCAAAAGGTCTTGAACTAGTACGCAAAACAGTGCTTACTACAATCATGTACATCATTATTATACATAGAAACAGTTTGTGTAAATATGAAACTGCTTATTTTGATAAAAATCTTAATGACCATTCAAACAACCATTGTAGACTATATTTAGACAGATGAATCATAACAATACTCTTGAAATAAGATAAATAAAGAACAAAATTATGCCAATTTGAAACTTAACGTTTTGCTTACAAACATTATTCTTAATAGCTTTAGTACAAAATTAAATTATCTGGTGGGCGATATTTTCAAAACAAAGAAAGATATATTCTGAAGGACAGTTCAAATGGTCAGTGGCTACACAGTGTTTTGCAAGTCAAGGTGACCTTTTGAAACTGAACGTTTTGTCTTCAACCAGTATCCATATACTTTGTATCAAAAATAAGTTATTCCGTGGGCGAAATTTCAAAACAAATATGAATCATATTCTGAAGGACAGTTCAAATGGTCACTGGCTAAACAGTTTTTGAAATTCAAGGTGCCAATTTGAAACTTTACGTTCCATAGCTTTCGCCACAGCTTTGTTACAAAAATAAGTTATTCAGTGGGCGTAACCTTCAAAAACAAAGACAGTTATATTCTGAAGGACAGTTGAGATGGTTACCGGATGGAAACATTTGCAAATCAATGTGCCATATTGAAACTTAACATTTTGTCTACACTATAGTTATCCATAATAACAACTTAGTCACACATTTCAAAACAAGGAAGGGTCATATAAAGATATATATTCGGAATTCAAATGGTTAGCGGCTAAACAATTGTTATAAGTTAAGGTTTCTATGATTCACACCAATTTTTTTTTTATGTAAACATTTTATTTTTGAAAATCTGAAACTTCATATAACTTGATAAAATCTTGATATCCTTCGCTAGAAGACAGTTCGAAAGGTGATAGAATAAACTTCATCAATGCACCAAAAGAGACCACAGACTTGTTTGTAAAACTAACCAGGGCTTAATTTTTGCAAAAATTTTATGTTATTTTATGCAAATTTCCATTGTTGGTAAATTTTATGTGTATATGTCTTTTGTTATCAAATATATATGATCTCAAGTTGGTCAAATGATTCAGTTAAAGTCATCAGACTAATCCTATTTATAATTCAAAGTTATGCATAGATATACATGTATATATGAGGGTCTGGATGGGTGGGTGTCCTCCATTTCTTTATTCTTAATTATCTTTTAGACCAATTTTGTCTATTTTTTAATTGTTTTGCCAATTATTTTCTATTTTTTATATTCAAGCACACAATTATTTTATATTCTTTATATTTTAGCACACAATAATTCTCTATTCTGTATTTTTGGTGCATTTTTGTCTATTCTTTTTTCTGCACTTTTTTACCATGATCTCAAATTCTCTAAACCCTATCCAGACCTTCATATATAAATCACAATCATATCTTTTACTGTCGGTTTGAATTCATCAAGTATCATGATAAAGAAAATGTAAATCATCGTCTTCCATTAAATCAAAATAATCGTGTTCAACCTTCTTGATATTTGAGTGTTTGTCTGTGGGAAATATTTGAAGAAGTGTCAAGTTTTTTTATATGTAAAACAGTGTTGATGATACTTCATAAAGATTTTAATTGGCGGGAGTTTGTATGGTCGAAAGATTTCACGTTTTATCTGTTTCGCTTGTGTTAACTTATGTTTCGTTTGTGTTAGGTTTTATTGTTTCCAATTTTATTTCTTACCCTTTTGACGCAATTTAGTTAGTTCGGTAAAATCTATTTGGTTTTTAGCTGGACTATTGAGGTTTTTCGTTTCAGGTTTTTCTTTTACGACATGTATGTCAAAGTAGGTAAAGCGAAAGATTTTTAAGCACTACGTGTAGTTTCTCCGGCAGCAAGTATTGTGCCTGTAGCAAGTCAGCATATCTTGGTCACGTGTTGTTTGTCTTGTAAGTCTTTGTGTTGTCTCTTTACGGCAGACTCGGTTGTTGGCGTATGATTGGTGTATTTTGCTTTACTGTTTAATGTTTTTGGTAATTGTAGATATCCTTTTCGTGAATTATACAAGTACCAGCAAAGGAAGTATGCTGTCTCATTGACGTATTACCAACGTCTCCTCGTCGTCATACGATTTGGCAATTATACCAAACAAAAGACATGATCTAACGAGAGGAGTAATTATTCTATACAGCGATGATATATAAGTAATAATGGCACCAGAATAATGACAGAAAATATTTCTTTTCTACATACTTGAGCAAAATTATAAATACGTCTATGTTGTTTCTGTCTTAACGATTGAAGCTTAATGACAATACCAAGATATAACATATAATTACATTTATGTTAATTGAATACTTTGGTTCTGTTTTCTGTCTTCAATCGCCCCCGGATTGAGAAGAAAAACACACATATGCAAACATAAGATATCTGCAAAAGTAACACAAAATGAAATTTTTTTTCGCTTTGAATTTGTTGATGCTGTGTTTTTAGTCTATCTTTTATTACCTATTTTTCGCGGGCATTGAATCATACTACAATTTTTTGAATAGCTCAAACCAGTATTTAAAGGGGGTTGTGATATATGTTGATGTTTGACGAAAAAGAGTAACCCGACAAAAAAAGGACAATAGATTGTGGTAGGTCGGTGTAAGTATATTTAATTTCATTTTTATTCATACTTTAAAATGGTATCTTATTGGTAAGATCTTGATATAAAAATCACAACTTTTACAAGTCTTAAATATTTTAACATAGTCTTGCAATAATAAAATAATATTATAAAGTCAAACCGAATCATATGATAATAAACAGGGATGTTTCATACTTAACAACTTCTGTCAAGTGTAGCAACGTTAATAGCTTATTTTTTTTTTTGGCTTTTCACAAATGTGTATTTAGTTTTTCTTTAGCCCTATAAAATGTAAAAATGAATATTTATCAGTTCGTCTGATCTAAAGTATTTTTTTACAGTGTTTATTAACCACATATCAAATAAACGGCTGTATGTAAATACACCCCCTGGTCTATGTATGGCCAGTCAGTGACATAAATTGTTTTTTCATACCTTTATCGTTTCCTCAAGCAAACGACGAGTACAAAAGTTAAAAAATTAGACGTCTTTATCAGTTTAATTATCCTGAATAATTGGCTTATTTTATGATCACGTAAAATTAACTTAATAGCACGTCTTTCAAATTTTGTATGTTAAGGTTGCCTATTATTATGATTAAAAATTTACGGAAATAGAAAGATTTCAGTCGAGTAACTTTCCGATCGGTCAGTGTGAAAACATTCGTTCATAATCTTTGTTTGTATTGAACTAGACATTTTTTTTTATTATTTACATCTTTGCTATCAAAATGATATTGACGTGCTAGAACATATAGTCAAATGAGTTGTTGTCTCTTTGACGTATTCCCCATTTCCATTCTCAATTTTATTTTAAAATGAGATATCCATCAGAACTAACATGTTTCGATTCTACAAGGATATGTCGACATCGGCGTTACTGTTTAAACTATAACAGCCCTGACATTACTACTGTAGACGTTTGATCTGAATGAGGCGTAAGCATATGAGACCGAAATAAATGGACAATTAGATTCATAAGGGCGTTTGCAAAATTGAATATATAACATGAAATAGGTTTTGTCGGTACCAATCACTGGTTAGAGGTTCGTCCCATGTATTATGATTTCCTATGCATAATCGTTTGAAATCCTTTATACACTCTTAGTGCATGCGACCTGTCTATGCTTAACTCCACCCCATCCCCGCATCTGATATCACTCATATTGTTTAGTTTTTTTTAATATGTCTAGCCCACATAATTAATTTCATGTACTCCTTTTTCTTTCGCGTCTTTTTTCTTTTTGACTAATACTGTTCTTGAGGTTCCCAAATTTTATACAATGCTGCGTGCGTAACCGAAAAACTTCTTCTAAATACCCCCTTGCCTATATGTGCGAATCGGAACGTTTGTATAATATTATCATGCAATATAGTTTAACTGACAAGACAACATGCAATACGATTTTAATTAGTTTTATGACTAAACACTTCCCCGCTAAACACTTTTCATGATGTTTTCACTTATTTTTATTTTTATTATTAGTAGTAGTAGTTGTAGTAGAACTATTAAGTGAAATTGTTTGCTCCGGATAGTATAACAGCCCCTGTTTCATATAATTAAAAACAGGGGCGCTACACTCAAAGCTATCAATATATGAATAATACTTAGTCTGTTATTTCATTTCATTTTGCAATGCGACGTAAAGAGGGAAGGTATAAAGTTGTACTCTAAGGGTGAATTGTTTCTTGTGAACTTTTGATTCTGGCTGTAAACTTGTTCATCAAAGTAACCAGTCTGACAAAAATTTCAACAATACGAACAATGTCAATCGGCCCCTAAAGAATTCAAGAGGTGATTTTAATTTTTCACATATAATCTTAACGACAACATAAACTAAGGGATTATGTTATTTTACACAAACTATGTCTCAGATGTCTCCTTTGAGTGACTTCCAAGGTTGATAATGGTAAGGTGTATTTATATGTGAAGTTTTACCTGACTTCACGACACCCATAAAAACAAATTTATATTCGTTGGAGGGCTATTCTTTCAGTATTTCACATGCATATAAATGTCAAATAGTGAAAATGACTAGTGTATCAATTTCATTAGGATATCACTTGTATTTTGCTTCAGTGACTATTCAATTGCTACTTAATTCACGACTGCAATTTTCTTTTCAATGTCAATGACTGACTGTGGTGAAGTGTAGGGATTTTAAGACGTCTAAGATCCTGACAGAAACCTGGTTTGAAATTCCGATCGATAACCTTACGTAACTTTTATCAATGATTTAATGTCAACAACATGCTTACCTTTCAAACTGTCATCTTGTGATACCTGTAAAATAAATAAATTTAGATCTATTTTAGTTAAGATAAAAGCCAGAAAAAGTAGGTGACATAAAATTTAATATGTTTTATGTTTGTTTTGTAATCTGTTAAGTAGCAGATAGATTTACAGAACTTAATACACAGGTAAAAGTATAATATTAGGTTATGATATACTTTTTATAGATTAAAGCTCTGCAAAGTCAAGGCAAAATCCTCACTTTGAAATTGATATAAAAAAATGTTAAACTAGTGTTATATTAACCGAAATAAAGGATATTGGTTGAATAGAAAGTTTGTATCGTATTGTATGCAATGTATATGTTATTTGTATTATTTATCCGTGTTCACGTAAGTAGCCGAGGATTGATGAGACAAACCAATGTTTTCAAATTACATATTATTAAAAAAATACTCATTGATTGTTGTCTTCAGTCGTTCAATATTAAAACCTTAAACGCACCTGACGTAATTTCATTTCTCTCCGTGTGTTTTAATGAAGTATTAAAATAGAAATCTTCACTATTTAAATTTTTACTGTCATCTTAAATGATATCAAACTTCTATTGATTGTACAGACGAATCGCTGCTCATTAAATTATGCCTTCTATTGGCCGAATTGCCATATCTAGAAATATTTACCGATAAAGGACTTATATTTACATATAATGAAACAAAATGTGTCTTGAAAGATATTTTTTTAAGACCTTAGTCCAATTTAAATTGATTTTCGTTTTGATAATATTACTTTCATCTGTCTAAACATTAATTTTTCAAAATTCTAAGTCGCATCGCAGGCTCTATGTCGCATGGCAAGATCTAAATCGCTTCACTGTTTAGCCAATTGATAAGTGTGAACACATTTTGTAAATAAAGGCAACAGTAGTATACTGGTGTTCAAAATGAAACCAATATCTAATGGACAATTCCAGAAATTGTGTTGCATTATGGGAACTCCCAGTTTTGGATGGAATAATTTTGTCCAGACGTTATACACGAGGTCAGTGAGCTGCACTGCGTAATTTACTGAAAAGAAACATGATTCGAAAATGATCAACTAATACACAACGATTAAAAGGAAATAATAGCAACTATAGGATTCTTTTCTTGGAATATACACTTGAACAGTTTATCTATTTGTAGTATGTACTTGTAAATGTTTGCCTTAAACAAACTGGAAATATGAGAATATTAAATAAGCCTTAGGGTTTATTTCTCCAGTTTTTCTTGGCCAAAATATCCGTACAATGTTTGAAATCAAACGAAGAATTCATATAATACCGGTTTAGTCTCATTTTGCCAGTTTGACGTGGCTACAGTAAGATATCCTTTAATTATATATATATATCTTTATTCTGTCAAACCTTTCAATTTTAAAAATCAAACGAAAAAGACGATGCAGCCGACAACTGCTATTTCTGAAATGCTCACACAAATGGTATGTTAAGTTCTTAACGATAATTAACAGTAGGTGGGTTAATGGTTCTCATGAAAGCCCATCATGCAGGTGACAGATGATTGTAGCTAATTAACTTCTAAAAATAAAATTTTGGAATACTTTTGTAGCAGTAATAACATCAACAATTATATAATGAGAAAAAACGGTACGGAAGGAATTCATGTACAATGCGTGAATAATTACATGCAAAACATCTTTGTACATGAAGAAGAAGCATCTGACATCTTTGTTTATACAAAAATAGAGATATGCGGTATGATTGCCAATTAGAAAACTATCAATAAGAGTACAAATGACGGGGATGTAAATATCTATATGTCACCGTACGTACGCCCTTCAACCAGGATCAAAACCCTTACCGTATAGTGAGCTAAAGAAAAAAGGCCCAAAATAACAAAATGTGAAACAATTCAGACGAAAAATGTACATATTCCAACTGTTTCAAAAAAGATCGCCAAAATTAGATTAGTAATGAATTTTTTTAACCATTGATGATTCAGAAAACCGCGTAGACTGGAATCCGCTTGTATCACGCTACACTCAAACAAAGTGAAGTAGTCAGCCGAGAACCAGCTTAAAAACCGCGATACTTGAACGAGATCAGAAAACCGGGTTACTTTAGCGATATCAGAAACCCATTTAACACATAGTTATATATAAATATGTGATCTGAAATTAGATTGTAGTTTTATTGATGCTTAAGTAGCAATCTTATTTCCAGTATGATGAAAAACAGATAACTTAAATAAAAAAAGATTTAAAAGTAGTTACATGCCATAAATAAATATTTCTAAGGTCTTGTGTACTAAGCTGCTTCACTTTGAATCAGAATGCATGAACAAATAACTGTCTTAAAGAATTATGTAAACATTGTTTAAATAAAATACTAAAAGCAAAAACAAAAACAAAACGAAAGAAATTTTGTTGTTTTCATTGTCAAAGGCTCATTGTTGAATATGATTTTGCTCAATGTTGCAGGCCATTTAGAGCTCTATAGTTGTTAACACCCTCGTCCTTTGGTCCTTGGTAGATATAGTTGTCTCATTGGCAATCATACCACATATCCTTATTTTCATATTGATATTTGACAACTACTTCTGAACATGAAATCCAAAGGGCTATATAGTTGCTAAACTTCTACGTCAGTTGGTCTCTGGTAGATAGTTGTCTCATTGGCATTTATGCCACATCTTCTTAGTTTTACATTAACATAGCAGCGAACCTCATCTAAGCTCATCAAAGCTTTGGATAGTTTTATGCAATGAAATAATTAATCAAATAGAAAATTGTGGTAAAAATGTGTCGGTTACTATATGTCAATACCGAGGCACTTGCTTCTGGACAGATGGTACCCTTATATAGAGGTCCCTTGATTTTTAGGTCCTTTTTGGTCAAATAGCTCTTCAACTGTTTCGGCCCTAGTACATCCTTGACTTTCAAATATTCGACTTTGAACGTTCCTGATGCAGTAAATCGAGAAAAGCGCTTCGAACGCTTGAAATTTTCAAATTGTTATTTTCATTTTTTAGCCTTATTGAAATATGTGTGATTCTTATTGCAATTGCAATGCGTGTAATGTTAAGGCGGTTTATTGAAAGTACAAATACTTTTTTGCATTTCATTATATGTCTAATGCTTTGCTCAAATGATCTTTTATCGGTATTAATGCAGTTTTTATTATAAAATTATTAGTATAACCGAAAAGGTATAATAATCTCATTTGCATTATTAAAAGTCTAGGTATGTTTGTATTATATACATACAAAAGATGTGAAACGATCGTAAAGTCGTCAACTCAAAAAGGTGAAAATTTATAAAAATGAAAAACAAAAATTTCAACAGTTATATATGGTGGCTGTGTGACTATGGCCAGTGCTGATTTTAATATATACACTAATATATTTTTATGATTTTTGAACATATATATAACAATAAAACACTTACCGCGAAAACAATTTGCATAAATAAAATGATAAGTTTTATACTGTAATCCATAGTGCAATATTTACAATTGCTATCAAAATGTAAAATGTCAAAGTCCTTCCGTTTAAAATGTACAATATCTCCTCTCTAAATCAACTATATATGCTAAATAAAATAGTGTTTCTTGTCGATTTAACTATTTTGTCATTTGTCTATGTGTTACGTTGCATATGATACAAGTCATTATATACTACAAATTGTAAGAGTGTCTATTAAGGCGGAGCTTGTAAAGTCACATGACAAAATATTGAATGAGTTTCAATTCAAACATGCAAGCGTGGGCATGTGCACATTCTAAATATGGAGACCTTGTGAATAAACTATATCAACATACTTTCGTTGTACCAACAAAAATGTATTTATATTACATTTGTAGGGTAATAAAATGGTGTTAGCTGTGCAGTTATTAATAACGTTTTTGATGTTTGATTTTATTAGCATATGCAATCACCTCAGCTTAATTCCATTAAGCTGCACCCAACACAGTCAGTTTCTAAAATTGTCTTAATTTTTGAAATATTTTGTACTATCATACAGAAGTCATGATTGTTTTTTTTAATGTTGATGATAGAATATTTCACAAGGATAAACAACTATTTAAAGAACACGATTGCTTAGTAATACTCGAAATCAGGATACTAGAAATCAAATTTATTGGCTTTCACAGTTGTTCTTGATTCTTAAAATAAAACTGGATCGACATAAATTATTTCGATTTCTAATATATTTATTGGTAAAATAAAAAGGGTGATAGCATCGTAGCGCAGTTAGTCGGATATCGAAAATAGCTGGCACGAAATCGATCATTCACCGCATAAATAATGTCACTGTACCATTTATATCCGGTTTATTTTACAACACGGCCAATGACTGTAACACAAATGTCTATTATACTTTTCACTGAACAAATGTTACAGGTATGTTTCTCTATAAATAAAGGGAGATGTTGTAGACACTTCAACTAGACAGAATACACAAAAATCATCAGCAAAACCAGAAAAACATGTAACTTAGCGACTATATATGAGATTGTTGTCTTAAATAATCATGTATACTATGATGATTTCTTTTAAAGACTGGCTATATATTGATATTACAATGACAGTGATTTGAGACAAAAGGAAGCAAGAGGAATGAATAGTATAAATGCGTAAACAATAGTTTTGGCTGATTGATTGTTGGTTGCTTAACGTCCAGTGGCAAATTTTTCATGCATATTCAGGACGATGATAGTTTTGGAGCTTTATTTTTTAAATGTAAAATGATTTATTTTGCAATTCCAGAGTGAATTTTATCTGTAAAAATAAAGACCATAAAATTCGTTGCATCCGCAAGACGATCGTTGTTGATTATACTAGACAAATGATCAACGTTATATTTATTCCGTTTTGATCGAATGAATTTCTGTTTGTTACACCCTGACAAAAGAAATTAAGCGATATTTGCAAGTCAAACACGGCTCAGTTGAATACTGTATAATTGATAATGCCATAAAGTCTCAAGTATTTCATTTGCATATGTTTAGATGTCATGAATTTAACAATTCAGGAAGTCGGTAGCTGTTCATTGTAAAACTTGGTTACACATTTTTATCGAAGAAAACACCAAACACCAAAGGTAAAGTGTGTGGCCAGATAAGGGTCAAAATATGACCTTTGACAATGATAAAAAAAACATACCGTATACTGTAGTAAGTTGTAAAAGCCCCTAGAATGAGAGAATGTGCAACATTTCAAAAGAGTAACCAGTGTCCTAATTTTGTTTATTTTGTTGCCTTGTTTTTAAGATGCAATTTGTTTAAACTGCATCTAAAAAGGGAGAAATCCGTTTGCGCCAAAAATGGGTGCTTTTGCGGCACAACTCATTTTCGCCAATAATACGTTTGTGACATTAGCTTTAAAATTACCTAGCATCATTTGCGCCAGAAATTTAGTCAACGATTGCACCAATTCTATTTAGATACATTTTATCTTAAATTTAAATATACAATTGAATGCTGTAGAAAAAAGAAAAAAACTACCATTAATCTAAATCAAAGCAAGTGTCGACACAGCACTTTAATAAATAAACTTGTTCCATCTTACCATGCAAAAATACAACGAACACGAATAACCGATTTATTCTTATCTTTTCTGATTGTAAACTTTTTATGACATTGTCATTGACATACGTAATTTTGAGTAACAGAAATAGAAAAGAGCTTTCACTACTTTTCCGTACGAATATTTGGTAAATTCTTTCTGATCCCGTTTGGTTTGATGTATATTTGTAGCATCGGTAGTTGCACATGAAGAACAGACGTTTTCTTTCCTGATATTGTTTTTAAGCAAGATTAGTCTAAAAAAAACTACAACAGTTTAATCTTCGCATTACTTTGATTGATCAGTTCCTTTAAAGTATATTTCTTTGAATGACAATATTACTAATACTCGGTATTGAGAAAATTAATGGTGAATTCATTGATAAATATCACCCTTGTCTGTTTCATAATGACGCTTTCGTAGGACTTAGATAGTTTATATCTTTCCTTACAGACCACAGATAAACTCAGACCCATTTTTGGTATTCCTGTGTCCTCTATTATAGTCAAGGCTTATTGGAGTTTATTTAGTTTTCATTGCTGTGTAGTTCACTTTTTTAAAAATCCATCAACTTTTGAAAGAGAGGCAAAAGATATCAACGGGATATTATATAATCAAACTCATAAGTCGAAAACAAACTGACAATGACAAGGCAAAAACGAAAACCGATCAAAAGACAAACAACAGCACATAAAAAAGAACATAGAAAACTAAATATTGAGCAACACGAACCCCACCAAAACCGGGGATGATCTTAGGTGCTCTTGAAGGGTAAATAGATCCTGCTCCACGTGCGATATGAAAGATGTATTCAGATTCCTCAAGTATAAATTTAATATCATCGATTCAATGCATGCTTCGTACTTTGATTTTACTTTTACGTGTAGGCCTACATGTAGTACAACTTATTTTTAAATATCTTTTTACAAGATATGTGTTAGGAAATGATTCGTAAAGTGGTTGTGAGTGAAAACAATTCTAGTTCAAAGTGCTTTGAGTGAGAAAATTTATAGTTTGTCCATAACTGCACCACGACTGTCATATTTTGATGTCAGCACAAAGATTTCTGCACAAAACGTACGACGTTGTCGTTTGAAAGGACTGAAACACTTTCTAACACATTGAAAGCATTAAAGGAACAAAGTGGTATGTAGGATGAAAGAGAAGTCGTAAAAGAGAAGTCGTAAAAATAGAAGCCTCTCTCATAGACATGCAGATATTATGTAAAATGTTTGCCAACATCAGTAAATTAGTCGGAAGCATGTCTGAGAGCATATTTCCGTTCTGATAAGTATATTTCTTATGAAATGTATACCAGATAATACCACCTTTGTTGAATTATTTATAAAAATATGTGTTTAATTTGAGGAGGTAGAATTGACCTTTTGATCTATATAAGCTACATAATACATGTCTGTATTTTCAAAATTTTAATTGATGCATCTTTAAACATTCTTACAAGATGTAAATCATGCAGAAATAATTAATCATAAGTATCTAAGCCGTTTTAATTGGACGTTATCATGAAATAATAAAGCCATCGGAATTTAATAATTGTTATAATGAGGGTCTCGATGGTGATCCTTTATTTCTGTATTCTTTAATTATTTTATTTTTTGAAGAGAGGCAATTTTCTTTATCTTTAGAAGTAGCGTAAATTTTCATGAAAATTATTTATAATACTATAGAAATTATTGATAAGATTTCTTTATTCTGTATATCGTTGATTTCTGAAATCGATCAGTATCTTTTATTTTCAACTGTTCTTCTCTATACTATTGCACACCATTATTCTCTAATCTTTATTTTTTGCTAATTTTTCTATATTCGTTAATTTTTTTGCTATCTTTCTCTATACTGTAAACCCTATCCAGACCCTAAAAAAGATCCATTATAAACGTAATATAGTCTCAAACATATCGCAATAAGTCATATTCAAATTGCATATTCCTGATAAAATTTACGTCAGCAACACTCTTACGCAAAACTTCATTCATGTTCATATAAAAAGACATCTAAATACGGATGTATTTTGTGGTTTTTACGTGTTTTTGTAAATTGCTGTCTCATCGACGTACGCCAAACAACTGAGATCATAAGATCAGACAGGTTCGCGGTTATAGCTTTTAGTTCATGATCGATTGTAATATATATAATTACAGTTATGTTGATTGCTAGCCTCACAATAAGACAAAGTTCTTTAAATAACTTTACTGACCTATATTCAAGATCGTATACACTGCAGAAGACAATGCTGACTTGCACTAGTGAAACAAGAACACCTTGCACTTCCGGTGCAGAACTTGAGGTCACCCCTGCTTTTTGTGGGATTCATGATATTCAATTTTCACACAGTTTACCGTGTATTTTTTGTGAATTGTTGTTCGTTTGTCTTTTCGTATTTTTTTTACTTTAGGTCATGTCTGTTTCGATTAACTATTTCTTATTGCCTCCTTAATATCTAGTACTTTTATGAATATTTTTCTCGTCTTTGAAATATTTCCCAATTTTTCAAATGTGCTCTGAATTTAATTATCGGGTGGTGTCTGTGACCAGAGATATCGCCCTTATAAGATCTTCACATATAGTCCCTATTGTGGACAATGTATTTCTTCCTAAAACAAATTTAGACATCTTGAACTTTAAAGAAAAGGGGCAATTATGTCCAGTTGAAACAAAATCAAGAAAGTGTTTCTCAGATGAAGTAAAACTGAATTATATACCTCTTAACATAATTTTTTGAGTTCGCGCTAGTAGATTTTTTTTATAAAATTTAATACACTGTTTACAAAACATAGCACACTTTACTGCAAAAAGAGACAACAGATACCACGGGTATATTCAATTGATTGATTAATTGATTGATTGGTGTTTAAAGTCACTTTCAGCACTATTGTGCTACTTGGTGGTGGTCGGTTTTTATTAGTGGAGGAAGCCGGAGTGCCCGGAGAGAACCACTGACCTTAGGTAGTAAAACTGACATGCATAGTCAAGATTGGAGTCGAGCGCACCTGCCACGTGCGGGTTTCGAAATCCAACCTCGGTGTTGATAGGCAAGTGATACAGTTGTTCGACTACTTAGACCACTCGTGGTTGATATCAGGTGCTCAGGTAGA